TGAGCCTCAGTGACTTCATCTGTGAAACGGGACTGTGTTCCGCCCTTGGGATGTCGCCGTGGCTGGCAAGGAGGCAGGTGTCTGTGCCCCTGGTCCTGGCACCGCAGACGCCTGCCGTCCTTCTGCGCTGCCCTTCCGACTGTGTGACGTTTGCTGTGCCCGCGTTCCTGTTTGGGGGCACTGTGGTCGCTCGCCCCTCTGGAAGCAGTTGGGACGCAGGGCGACAGCCTAATGAAGTTCTTGCTTTGAAGGCCGTTCATCTCCGAAGGGCTGGGCGCCCAGCGCGTCCCGAGCCGGGCGGGGTTTGTGCTGTGATAACAGGTGTGCGATCTCGTGTGGACGACCCAGTGAGTCCCAACCACCCAGCTTTCCCCAATAATGTAGGGCGGCTGTGCTCCCCCAGATGCTGGGGGAGCCCGACACCCTCGTGGCCTCAGTCCCTGACCTTTGTGGCACCAGTGTGGGTGGACGGGGGACGGAGCTGACGTCAGCGAGGGTTCGGGTCCTGTTTGCGAAGGTTCTGGGAGACAAGCGGGGGTTGGGGGGCTGTCCACCTGCCGCTGTCCCGAACCCCGGGTGGGTGGCCAGATGCCCCTGACTCTCTCTAAGGTCAGACTGTCTCTCCTCTCTCTGAAGTCCTCCTCTCTGTTCCGTTCACGTGGGAACCGAGTGCCTCTGTTTCCTTCTTTTCCTTCCTTTCTTTTTGGTGGGGGAGGGGAGGGAAATGAAGAACTTTCTAGATGCAGGTCAGGCGTGTGAAGGAGACTTGCCCAGGTGTTGGGCAGCATCAGGGAGCCAGTGGCCTGCCAGGCTTTGTGCCCTGCAGGTGGGCACGGGCACCTCCGGGTGCCAAGGGCACAGGGGATGAGGTCAGAGTCGGCACCTGTGTGATGGTGGAGACCGTGTGACAAGGTGACGGAAGACGTTGTAATTACTTGGTCCTAAGAGTCGTCGCTGACACCGCTCAGCAGGTAGCAGCCCCGTGGGCACGTCACTGTCCCAGGGGCGCCACACAATGGTGACAGCGGACCGTCCACTACTTCCCTTCACACAGACACCAGTGTTTCTGCACAGTCTTTATGGGGCTGCATGAAACCCCATCACATCTGTGAACCATATCGATGAGATTATTTCTCTGAATTAAATATTTAAACTGTTGCCCAGCCGGGTGGCTCAGGGGTTGAGCATCGACCTGTATACCAAGAGGCTGCCGGTTCGATTCCCGGTCAGGGCACACACCCAGGCTGTGGGCTGATCCCCAGTGGGGGGCGTGCAGGAGGGGCCAGTCCATGGTCATCGATGTTTCCATCTCTTTCTCCCTCTCCAGTCCTCTCTGTCTAAGATCAATAAAGGAAATAAATATATAAATATTTAAACTGTTTTCATGCGTACTTTGTAGGCAACCTTGGATTTAAAAGAGCTGAGATGTCTGTAAGATACGTAGATGCACTTGGCTTACGTTTTCGGCTAAACTCCCAACTTGCTGGGCGAAGGACCCGGGTGGTTTTGAACACCGTGCTGTGATGCTGGTTCCTCTCCGGGAAGGGTCGCGGCCCCTTTATCAGAACCTCACTGACAGTAGATAGCATCGTTTTTTAAAGATGTGGCGGCAGCACATCACATCTCCAGGCTGTGGGGACGGACTTCCGTGACCTGCCAATGCTCTGGGCTGTAAGGGCTCCAGGGCCGCAGAGCGAGCCCCCAAGGGTGCGCTGGGCTTCTCCGCCCGCCTGGGTGTTTGGAGAGCGAGGGCGCACAGTGGGCTGGGCTGAGCCAGCCGCCCTCCCCCAGCCTCCCACCCCGCCCCAGCCACAGGCCCAGGCACGGGGCATGGACGTCAGGGACCAGAACCCAGCACGCCAGGCTCAGGTGATCTAACCCATCGAAGAGGTGAGGTGCAGTGTGGCTGTTTTTGTCTTGTGCAGAACACAGGGCCTTGTGCTCTGGGGCCTGACGAAACCTGTCGACCGCCTGTTTGGAACAGCTCACTGTCCGCCACGCGTCTCCTCAGGAAGCAGCCTGCCACGGTTCACTGCTGCGGCCCCTGGGCAGCGCGGCAGAGGGACCGGGAGACACAGGGACGAGTGGCTGGGCAGCACAGGGGGCGGCCCACTGCCCACCCCCGGCGATCGGTGCCACGTGCGAAGGGGCCCCGGCTCCTGCAGGAAGGTGTGAGGGTTCACCCTTCTATCTCTGTGAGCAGCAAGCGAACACCGTTCAGAAGAGACTCCGTCTTCCCAAGAGACGGGGGATCCCCAACAAAGGAGAAGTTCCTATAAGCAGGAAATGAAAATGCCTCAGAGTGCGGCAGTCTCGGACGGGGGTCGAGGGGTGAGGAGTGGGCGGAGGGGGTAGAAATGCCTTCCCAGTGGACGCCGGTGAGCATCAGAGGCCGAGCCCACAAAGGAGGGAGCTGGACCTCAGCAAAACGGGGGCCAATGCTGACTCAAGAAGGAGGATAAGCCTGTGACGGAGAAGACCAGGAGGGAGTCCTGGCTCCTGGGGGCAGGTGTTGGGTGTAGTTGCTGTCCCCCAGCTGTGACGGAGCTAGAGCTGTGGGTGAGCGGCACAGAGAAGGTGGATACATGGTCACCAGGGGCCGCGTGGGAAACTGGTCTCATCTATGGGGAAGGGGAGCGTCTTAGAATTTGGGGTGGGGTATGGAGCTCATTCTGCGTGGGACAAGCGGAGTCACGGCCGAGGGGGGTGTTTGGACTTAATGTTCCTGGGAATGTGGTCAGAACTAAGAAGCTGGTCTCCTGCAGGGCGAGTGGCACCCCAGGAAGATTAGGGAGACCTCCGTGAAGTCCGGAAAGTTGCACTTGGAAGGGATGGACTTGAGAAACCCAGAGAAGGTCTCGAGGCCGCATGGTCTCAGGCAGGGAGCTGAGAGAGGACCGGGACTCTTGGGGTGCTGAGGAAGGGGGGCTGGGGATGAGAGGGTCATGAGTGGAGTCCACTGGAGTTTGAGCTGACTCAGCCCCCACTCACGACATGGCCCAGCAGCCCCTCGGGGCCCCGTCCTGGCCCTGCAGGTAGGTTTGGCATCAGCCGTCTTGAAGCAGACACGGAAACATGACGGGGATTTAGTCCTGTGCGCCAGTGAGGAGGTGGGGGGTCCGGGTCGCTCAGCTGCTCAGTGACAGCTCCCGCTTCACTCTTCCCAGTGGGCTCCCGGCCGGCAGGGCTGTGCCGCTGGCCGGCGTCCAGTCCGGGTGCCGCGCAGCCCTGGCCCCAGGCCGGGTGTCGGGCTCGGTCCCCAGTGGGGGGCGTGCAGGAGGCGGCCGATTGTTGTCTCTCTCACATCGATGATCCTCTCTCTCTCTCTCTGTAAAAAATCAACAAAAGCATATTTAAAAAAAAAGAAAAGAAAGGTAGACGCGAACATAACTTCGATTTTTCAGCACAACGTGCCCTTTAGAAATCGGACAAGTACAACGTCTGCTCCTCGTGCTGAAGTACCCGCATGGGGGTGACATGTTCCAAGGTCAGACCGAAGCCAAATACCAGGTTGTAAGTCAACATCTGGCTGAGAAGCCTGGTTACTCAGCAGTTGAAAATGTATATCTTTTCCTGAGAAAACTTGTTTCTCAGCAGGAAAAATAATTCACAGACTGTCCCTTCCCACGTGGAGGGGAGAGAGGGGTACGACTTTGCAGCCCGGGGCAGAGCAGTTCCGGGCCCTCTGAAATGGGCTTGGCCGAGGAGTGAGGTGTGATGGCGTCCCCGAATTGCTCCCCGAGGTGAGGGTCAGTGGGTGGCGCAGGTGTGCGGTTTCGGGCAGCCTTGCGGGGATGGCTGGGAGCAACCATTCCGGGGGTGCCACGGTCTGCCCACAGAGCCTTCTGGGGGAAAACTTCCGATGGGAAACAGCCACGGTGGCTCACAGGCACGTTGGGTCCCCAAAGAAGTGACATCGTGCAGCTGCATGCGGGCAGCTGTGGTGCTCGGGGAAGTGTCCGGGGACAGAAAGGCTGGAGGAGGGAGGCAGGGACGCGCCTGACGGATCCACGAGGCTGTCGCTGGTCAGCCTGGCCTTCCGTGGCAGCTGCCGTTTTCTTCCTGGTGCCCAGACCCCGGGCAAAGCCAGAGCCATGGCGCCGGACAGGACTGTGTCCGCTGTGGGCGGTCGTGATGGAGGGGCTTCCCGAGCCCGCAGGCAACCTCCCGAGTAATAAACCGAATCATCTACCAGCTATTGCACTGATGTAGAAACCGACGCCGGAAACTTCATCCCGTGTGCACGCATGCATGTGTGCGTGTGCATACAGAAATGTGTGCGTGCCGGTGTGTGCACGAATGTTCGTGCACATGGGTGTATGTGTGCGTTGTGTTGTGTGGGCGGTGGAAACCCAGTCTGGCACCGCAGTGTCGGGGCCCTGTCTGGAGGGTTCTTCCCTGCAGTCACTCCATGATGGAGACACGAAGTCACAGCCACCTGGGGGCGCTGGACTGGGGCCGTGTCCCCTGCTCACTGGGAGCAGGTGTCAGTCAGGTCCTGTGTGATACATGGAGGCTGCTGAGCTCCCCTAAGTCTCTGGAGGGAAATAAAACTCAGTTCCTGGGGACAGACTTTTTGTGGTCTCAGAGGGGAGCCTGCTTCTCTGAGAAATGGACCCGTGCCCTGTGCCCCTGTGCCAGGCCAGCGCCCCAACCTGTCCCGCCATGGCCAGAGGGGGACCACGGACCAGAGGGCCGGCACTGAGGGGGCACTGAGGGGGGCTCTGAGCGGGGCCAGAGGGGGGCACTGAGGGGGGGCACTGAGGGAGGAACTGAGGGGGGCTCTGAGGGGGGCACTGAAGGGGGCCAGAGGGGCGCACTGAGGGGGGCACTGAGGGGGACAGAGGGGCGCACTGAGGGGGGCACTGAGGGGGGGCACTGAGGGGGGCTCTGAGGGCAGGGCGGGCTTGCTGTGCGGGCTGGTGTGTGGGGCACTTAGGAGGGTCCCCCCAGTCCCCCCAGTCCCGCCCTTGAGACCAGGCCTGCACCCCATCTTCCAGGCCAAGAAGGGGAACTACGCCTTCCTGTGGGACGTGGCGGTGGTGGAGTACGCGGCCCTGACGGACGACGACTGCTCCGTGACCGTTGTGAGCAACAGCGTGAGCAGCAAGGGCTACGGCATCGCGCTGCAGCACGGCAGCCCCTACCGGGACCTCTTCTCCCAGAGGTAGGTGTGCGGGCGACCCCGCGTCTGCAGGGGCGAGCCCCAGACTTGTTCCTTCGCCACCTTCTCCTCCTCCTCACCCGCTGTGCACACTGCGTGCTCCTCACCCCCCGCCCCGCCTCCCTGCTCCTGCCCCCTCCTGCCTCCCCACACTGTTGTCTGTGTCCGCTGGTCATGAATATATGTACGCAAGTTCTTTGGTTTATCTCTTCCTGCCCCTCCACCTCCCATCCCTATGAGGTTTGTCAGTCTGCACCCCACTTCCATGTCTCTGGATCTGTTTTGTTCAATGGCTTATTTGCTCATTATATTCCACAAATAAGTGAGATCATATGATATTTGTCTTTTTCTGTTTGGCTTATTTCGCTTAGCATAATATTCTCCAGGTCCCTCCATGTCGTCTCAAAGGGTAAGAGATCCTTCTTTCTTACCGCTGCGTAGTACTCCATTGTGTATATGTGCCACAGCTTTTTTATCCATTTGTCTACTGATGAACACTTGGGCTGTTTCCAGATCTTAGCTATTGTAAATAGTGCTGCTATGAACATAGGGGTACATATATTCTTTCTGATTGATGTTTCAGGCTTCTTAGGATACATTCCTAGAAGTGGGATCACTGGGTCAAATGGAAGTTCAATTTTTTGAGGTAACACCATATTGTTTTCCATAGTGTCTGCACCAGTCTGCATTCCCACCAGCAGTATACTAGAGTCCCCTTTTCTCCACACCCTCGCCAGCACTTGCTGTTTGATGATTTGTTGATGGCGGCCATTCTGACAGGTGTGAGGTGACACCTCATACTTGCTTTAATTTGCATCTCTCTGATGATTGGTGATGTTGAGCATTTTTTCACATGTCGTTTGGGCATTTGTATGTCTGTTTTGGAGAGGTGTCTATTTAGGTCCTCTGCCCATTTTTAAATTAGATTTTGTCTTCCTTTTGTTGAGTTGTATGAATACTCTCTATATTTTAAATATTATTATTGGCATCACTTCCCCCTTCCCAATTTGGATGCCTTTTATTGTTTCTTCTTGTCTGATCACTGTGGCTAAGATTTTCAGTATTATATTGAATAAAAGTGGACATCCCTGCCTTGTTCCCGTTTAGTTTTTGTGCCTTGAGTATGATGTTGGCTGTATGTTTGTCATATATGGCCTTTAATAAGTTGAGGTATGATTCTTCTATTCCCATTTTGCTGAGTGTTTTTATCAGAAATGGATGCTGGATTCTGTCAAATGTTTTTTAGTGTCTAATTATATGATCATATGATTTAATCTTTCATTTTGTTTATGGGGTGTATCACATTTATTTATTTGCAAATATTGTACCATCCTTGCATCCCTAGGATAAATCCCACTTGGTTATGGTAAATAATTTTTTTTTTGTCATATTGCTGGTACAATTTGCTAATATTTTTTGAGGATTTTGGTATCTGTGTTCATCAGGGATATTGGTCAATAATTTTCTTTCTCTGTAGTGTCTTTATTTGGTTTTGGAGTTAGGATTATGCTGACCTCATAAAAAGAGCTTGGAGGTCTTCCTTCCTCTTGAATTGTGTGGAATGGCTTGAGGAGAGTGGGTACTAATTCTTCTTAGAATGTTCAGTAAAATTCCTCTGTGAAGTGGTCTGGACCAGGGCTTTTGTTTGCTGGGAGTGTTTGTTATTACATTTTCAATGTCCTTGGTTGTTATTGGTCTGTTCAGGTTTTCTGACTCTTGATGGTTGAGACTTGGAAGATTGTATGAGTCTAGGAATTTGTCCATTTTGCCAAGGTTATCCAATTTGTTGACATATAATCATTCATAGCATTTTCTTACAATCCTTCGTATTTCTGTGATGGCATCTGTTACTTCACCTCTTTTGTTTCTGAGTTTATTAATTTGTGTCCTCTCTGGTTCTTGGTGGGTCTGGCTGAAGGTTCATCAATCTTGTTTATCTTTTCAAAGAACCAGCTGTTGGTCTCATTGATCTTTTTTATTTTTATTTATTTTTAGTCTTTATGTCATTTATTTCTGCTCTGAGCTTTATTATATCCTCCCTTTTACTTACTCTGGGTTTTTGTTGTTCTTTTTCTAATTCTCTAAGTTGTAGGGTTAGATAGGTTATTCTAATTTTTTGTTTCTTGCTCCCTGAGGTAGGCCTGTAGTGCTATGAACGCCCCTCTCAGGACTACTTTCTCTGTGTCTCATAGGTTTTGGGTGGTTGTGTGTTCATTTTCATTCGTTTCCAGGAAGTTTGATTTCTTTCTTGTCCTCATTGCTAACCCATTCATTGTTTAATAATATGTTATGTAGCTTCCATGCATTTGAATGTTTTTGAGTGTTTTTATTATACTTTATTTCTAGTTTCATGTCATTGTGATCAGAGAAGATGCTTGATATGATTTCAATCTTCTTGAACCTGTAGAGACTCAGTTTGTGTCCTAACATGTGTCTATCTTTGAGAATGTCCCATGTGCACTTGAGAAGAATATATATTCTGTAGTTTGGGGGTAAAATTCTTTGTAAATATCGATTACATCCATCTGATCTAGTGTGTTGTTTAGGGTCTCTGTATCCTTGTTGATTTTTTTTCTCTAGAAGATTAATCCAGTGATGTCAGTGGGTTATTAAAGTCCCCTACTATGTTACATTCAGTCTCTCCCTTAAAGTTCTCCAGAGGTTTTTCGCCCTGGCCGGTTTTACTCAATGGTTAGAGCGATGAGTCATGGGTTTGATTCCAGTCAAGGGCACGTACCTTGGTTACGGTTCATCCCTGGCCCTAGTTGGGGTCATGTAGGAGGCAACCACTCAGTGTGTCCCTCTCACATTGATGTTTCTCTCTCCTTCTCTCTCCCTCCCTCCCACTCTATCTGAAGATAAATAGAAAAGTATCCTCAGGTGAGGATTAAAAAAATAAAAGAAGAAAAGAGAAAGTGCTCCAGAGGTTTGTAAACATATTTTGATGCTCCTATATTGGGTGCATATATGTTTACCAGGGTTATACCCTGTTGTTGGATAGATTCTTTTAATATTATGTAGTGGCCTTTTTTGTCTCTTGTTATGGCTGTCATTTTAAAGTCTATTTTATTGGATATGAGTATTGCTACCCCAGCATTTTTTTGGTTTCCATTTGCATGGAAAAACATTTTTTTCATCTTTTCACTTTCATCTTGTGTGAGTCTGTTGTTCTGAGTGGGTCTCTTGTAGAGAGCATATATATGGGTCATGTTTTCTAATCTTTTCAACTGCCCTGTGTCTTTTTTTTTTCTTTATTGATTTCAGAGGGAGAGGAAAAGAGAGGGAGAGAGAGATGGAACCGTCAATGAGAGAGAACATTGATTGGCCACCTCCTGCATACCCCCCAATTGGGATCGGGCCACAAGCTGGCCATGTGCCCTGACTGGGAATCAAACTGGTGACCTTTTGGTGCGTGGGTTGATGCTCAACCAGTGAGCCACACTGGCCAGGCTACCCTGCGTCTTTTGATTGGAGCATTTAGTCCATTTACATTTAAGGTTATTATTGATAGGTACTTATTAATTGCCATTATGCCTGTATTTCTCTATATATATTTCTTCTTGTTATTACAGCCATCCCTTAAATATTTTTTGCATTGTTGATTTGGTGGTAATAAACTTAAATTCCTTTAGCCTTCTTTTGTCTGGGAAGCTCTTTGTTTCACCTTCTTTTTGAATGATAGCCTTGCTGGACAGAGTAGTCTAGGCTTCAGGTTCTTGTTTTTCATGACCCTGAATATTTCATGTCATTCCCTCCTGTGTTTCTGTTGAGAAATCAGCTGATAGCCTATGGGGGCTTCTTTGTAGGTAACCCGTTGCCTTTCTCTTGCTACCTTTAAAATTCTCTCTGTATCTTTAATTTTTGGCACTTTAATTATGATGTGTCTTAGTGTGGGCCTCTTTGGATTCTTCTCACTTGGGAGTCTCTGTGCTTTCTGAACTTGTGTGCCTTTTTCCTTCACCAAGTTAGGAAAATTTTCTGCCACTATTTCTTCAAGCAGGTTTTCTAATCCTTGTTCACTGTCTTCTTCTGGATGTAGATGTTGTTACATTTCATGTTGTTACATTTCATGTTGTCTTGCAGCTCTGTTAAATGTCCTCCTGTTTTTTAATTGTTATTTTCTTTTTGGTTCTCTGATTGAATGATTGTTTTCTACACTGTCTTGTAATTCGCTGATCTGATCCTTGGCTTTCTCTAATCTGCTGGTTATTTCTTCCAATGTGTTCTTTATTTCTGCTGTGTCATTCTTGTTTTGATTGGTTGATATTCATTGTTTCTATATCCTTTCTCATGCTATTGAGCATCCTTATAATCATCACTCTGAACTCTATACCTGTTAGCCTGCTTATCTCCATTTCATTTAGCCCTTCTTCTGGAGAATTTTCTTGTTCTTTCATTTGGGGCTTGCTTCTTTGTTTCACTCTTTTGGCTGTCTGTCTGGGTTTGTTTCTATGTATTAGGTAGATCTGCTATGATTCCCAGTATGGTAGGGTGATCTTTGTCATAGGTGAGCTGTGGGACCTAGTGGTGCAGGCTCCTGATCATCAGACCTGGATGCACTAATTATGTCCCTTGTGTGCTTTGTGTGGGCCCTCCTGTTGTGATGGAGTCTTGATTGCTATTGGCCCATTAATGTGTGGGCTCTACACTCTGGTGACTGAGACTAATGCTAAACCCCCAACACAGCAAGTGGCCTGCTGTGCAGCTGCTTATCATGTGAAGTGAAATTCACCTCATCAGGGTTTGGAGCCTGTTAAAATCTCCCTGTGATATCAATGATCCAGAGTTTGTGGCTCCCTCTGCTGAGGCTGGATGTGTGTGGACTAGACCAAGCTGAACACTGAGGTCCGGTTTCACTCTCCCAGGGCAGAGTCCAGTCATAGGCCAGGCAAAGACTCAAAGCACCCAGAGATCCATCTCTGCCAGCAGGCCGGTCGTTAATCTCAGTCACTCATGAGCCCCAGGTGGTAGTCCTCCGCTAGATGAAAACTCCACCCAGGGGG